GGCGCCCGCCCGGCCTCGCGAGCTGGGGACGCTGGGGGGCTGCCCCTTGAGTGCCGGTGGTGCGCGTGCGCGAGGCGGTGGGACGCGGACCTCAGGTCACCGGCCAGGGAATGGGGGTGCACAAAGGTGCTCTCCCAGTGAGCGTCAGGCGTTCCCCCTTCCCTCGCGGGCTTGGTACACTTCAGGGGAAACTCAAGGTTTGGGGCTCTAGGCGCCAGAGCCCTGCGAGACTCCACTGGAGACCCGCCAATCCACCCCAGGCCCTGCGGGCCCCACACAGCGGCCCTTGCAGCCCGTGCTCCCAGGGGGGGCAGGGAAGGCACCCCAGAGTTCAGAAACTGCCCCTCCGCTTCAGCTGCCAGGTGGCTCCAGACCCCTTTCCTGGGGCCACCCAGCGCGCACATCTGAGTGTACTGGGGCGTGGCAGAGGATGGAGGTCCTGGGAGGTGACAGTGGCCTTTGGGGTCCCCTGGCCAGGGGGCATCCTCTGGAGGAGCCGAGCCCTCATGTGGTGTCCAGACCCCAGGAAAGGGCTGGCTGGGAGCCTCCCCCCCCCCCCCCGCTGGCCCACTGCTGAGGGGCTTCAGTGGACCTGAGGAGGCTGGAAGGACCAGGTGGGTGGGAGGCCGTCCTGGCTGTCCTGGCCACTGCCCAGCTGGAGCAAAGGTCTGGGCGGGAGAGGTTGCGGCAGGGCCGGCGGCGTGGCCTGGGATGTGGGGCAAGGAGCGCTGCCGCTGGCCCACGTGAGGAGGGGGGCCAGGAGCGACTCCTCCCACACAGGAGCCTGGTGGGGGTGCGCAGAGCCGGCTCCCGCCTCAGCGGGACAGACCGTTTTCCCCAAGGTCACTTCAACACGCCCTGGGCAGGTGTGGCTGGGGGCAGTGAGCTAGCTGGCAGGTCCCTGAGGCAGGCTGGTGGGGGTGACTGGGTCATGGCACCCCACTGGGGTGGCATGACATTTGACCCTCCCCCACCCCGGGAGCACACCCACCAGGGCAGGAGCCCACGTGCCCACACCGGGGCAGAGGGCTCCCGGCGATGGGGGGACAGATGCGGACAGCCTGGCAGGTCAGTGGGGCTTCTGGCGGAGGCACCCCCAACCTGGCAGAGGTTTTCTCCCGTAGCCTCTGGCCCCCAGGGGGGCACCCACCTGCACTAAGAGGGTGCAGGGCCACAGGCTACAAGACAGGGCTGGAGAGCCCCGTCCCGAGGCGTGGCTTCTGCTCCCAGGGTGGGCACGGGGGAGCCAGGCAGGCCCTGGCAAAGGGGGCGGGGGGGGGCGCATGCACCTAGGGGAGAAGGCCGCTAGTCTGTCTGGGGCGAGTCCGACAGTGTGGAGTGTGGAGGACAGGGTGGGGCCTCCGTGCCAACGCGCACTGGTTCTGGGGAGCCCCAGTATTCCGAGGGGAGGTGTGTCCACTGGAGAGGCCTCCAGCCCTCAGGCTGGCCAGGTAGGTCAGGTGCCCTGACCAGGCGTCAGCGGGGCAGGGCCTGTTTGGACAGAGCTGGGGGGAGTGGGGGGGGGGTGCCAGCCAGGGGGTGCAGGTGCTGGGCTGCTGATGGACCACAGCTCAGCGGGCCAGAGGCCTGGGTGCCCTGACCTCGAGGTGGCCGTGGGCCAGGTCCTCCGCGTGCTCCGGGAGCTGCTGCTCTCTGGGCACCGCTCAGCATCAGGCCTCGCAGCGCTGCCACCCGCGCCAGGTCGCCACCGGTGCCAGCCCAGGGAGGCGGGCTCCAGACACTGGACCCCAGGCAACTCCTGGCCAGCAGCAGGACCAGCCGAGGAGCCCCGCCTGTGGGCACTCCCGCCTGGACCAGGGAAGAGCGCCAGGTGGGTGCCAGGTCTCTCAGGAAGGTGTGCAGAGGGCACAGTTGGCAGAGACGGGTACAGAGTCCAGCGCCAGGCAAGACACAGTGACGTCCACAGCCGCCTCTCAGCCTGGCCCTCCTGCCCCTGCTATGCTGGAGGGCTGGGCTTGGCCCACTGCCCTGGGCGAACCTCCCCTGCTGCCCACCAGCCCGGTCCAGCCAGTCTAGCCAGTCTGCTCGCTCAGCCTGAGGTGAGGTAGACCCAGACAGGCCGCCGAGCCCGTGGGAGCGGTGGGAGCCGCAGGCCCCGCCCAGGGAGGGGCAGCAGGGCTGGATGCACTGGCCGGCCAGCCCGGTGTGAGCCCACACCCGCTGCTCAGCCCTGAGGCGCAGCTTCCCGCCTCTGTCCGGCCTGGCAGGAAAGGGAGCCCGCAGCGCTGCGTGGGCAGCTCGCCTCCCTCAGGCCGAGGAGGACACAGGGAGGACAGC